ACCATGCCCCCGGCTCGGCCCCGCACCGGCCCCGGCCAAAGAGGCCCCGGCCGAGCCCTCCCTCCCTCCCGATTTTCCTGGACATGCCCGGCTTTTGGGGATTTCCCCCCGGACGGGGATTTGAGCCCCCAAAAGCCGGACATGTCTGGGAAAATCCGGACGTATGGTAACCCTAGCTTTGAATCCAGATTTTGCCATCTGTCTAGGGAAATGGCTGATTCAGGGACTGGTAATGGCAGATGACTATTGTATTGCATTTGCAACCAGAGGCCCCAACCAAGATGGTGGCTGAGTGCTGTGAAAACACCTAGTGAGAGCGATTCCGTGGCTGGAAGGGTTTACAAAACACAAGGTGGGGCAGAAACAGGCACAGAAGGTGAAGTGACTTGCTCAAGATCTCAGGCTTACTTCTAAGTCAGCAGTTCAAATCTGGCCTGGGTCAGTATGTCATCACTTAAAGAATCCTCATAGATATTTGTTAACGGTGAAGGGCCAAATTCTGCTCTCGGTTGCAGGGGCCCAGTTCCCACTGAAACTGTCAGCAGTAGTACTCCATGGAACTGAAAGCAGAATTGGGTCCTGCTTGGCAAAATGCAGTTCTCCCCATCAGCTGATGCTGAAATGAGCCTACCCTCCCTGGGCACACAGTCTTGTGCTGGAGTGATAGGGATCGAGGTGCTGGAGGGAAGTGTGTCTCCAGAGCAGAGAGCATAATAGTGAGAGATGCCAAGGCTCTGGCGAATGGACAATGCATAGGCATAGTCACCATTGCCAAATCTGGATTGACCTCTGGTAAGAATCAGGATTATTCCAAGATCTTGACCTGGATCTGGAATGCCCAAGGTAGGTGGGTATTCAGCTCTTAAAGTTTTTGGTGCTTTCAAAATGTGGATGTGGAAATGGGTTGGGTTTTCTAGCATCCCCATAGTTCAAGAGTGGTTGGATCAAGTGTTTGGGTTTAGGGCAATGCGTTGTTTATCCTGTCCCTGGGGTTCTAAGTGCTGTGTTTACTTGAAGTATACTGAGATGGCTCAGAGCTTCAGAAGGGTAACCTTAGAAAACCAGGTAATGAGCCTGCAATGCCAAGGAAAACCTAAAAGTTCATAGGTAAGGCTCTTAAACTGTTAACTAGCATTAAAGGGTCAAAGAGTGAAAGTGGAGGCAGCAGCTGTGCAAAGGAGACTGAAGATGTGCTGCACACAGCATGAGCTAGGGGGTCAGTATTCAGAGTCTGCAATGCACAGTGTAAAATTCAGACCAGGAGAAAGGGATAACCATTAAGTGTGTGTGGGGAGGGGGGGGGGGGTTTAAACAGCCTGGGAAAGGAATTAGTATTCAATTAGGGCTGGTCTACACGGGGGGCGGGAGAGAATTGATCCAAGATACGCAACTTCAGCTAAGCTATTCGCATAGCTGAAGTTGCTTAAGTCTAAGTATCTTGGATCGAATTACCTGGGGTCCAGAAGGCGTGGGATCGATGGCCACGGCTCCCCCGTCGACTGCACTACCGCTGCTCGCTCTGGTGGAGTTCCAGAGTCGACGGTGAGCGTGTTCGGGGATCAATATATTGCGTCTTAATGAGACGCAATATATCAATCCCAGATAAATCGATTGCTACCCGCTGATACAGCAGGTAGTGAAGACGTACCCTTAGTGTGTAATAAGACAGCAAATCAGCCAGTGTTTAATTTGTAATGAAAGACATGCTGGGGCTTAGGCAATTGTCTTATTTTCATAATTGATGTGGCAAGCCTAGAGCCCTGAAACCAGTTCCCACCTCCAGGGCAATGGAATCAGTGTGGCTCTGAACAGAAGGGAGGATATGCCCTTGCCATAAATATAAAGGGAAGGGTAACCACCTTTATCTATGCAGTAACATAAAATCCCTCCAGGCCAGAGGTACAGAATCACTTTACCTGTAAGGGGTTAAAAAGCTCAGATAACCTGGTTGGCACCTGACCAAAAGGACCAATAAGGAAAGAAGATACTTCCAAATCTGGAGGTGGGGGGGAGAGGTTTTGTTTGTGCTCTTTGTTTGTTCCCTCTCTGGATGGAGAGAGACCAAGCAGGTAAAACATCTCCTGAAAACATACCTGAAATGATACATCTAAAATTACGGAAATTGTAAGTAAAGGCAAGGAAATGCATTAGATTATCTCTTGTTTTAGCTTGAGTTTTCCCTATGCTAAGAGGGAGTTTTATTTCTGTTTTTGTAACTTTGAAGCTGAGCCTAGAGGGGAATCCTCTGTATTTAAATCTGTAAAGTTACCTTCCATCCTGACTTTTGCAGGGGTGATTCTTTTTACTTTAAAGAAAAAGTTCTTCCTTTAAGAACCTGTTTGATTTTCAGTGTCCTAGGGACAAAGGGTCTGGTTGGTACTTGCATTATTCTCAAGCCTCCCCAGGAAACAGGGTGAAAGGGCTTGGGGGAATATTTTGGGGAACAAGGAACTCCAAGTGATCCTCTTCCTGAATTTTTGTCTAAATCTCTTGGTGGTGGCAGCAATACCGTCCAAGGACAAGGAAAGGATTTGTCCCTTGGAAGTTCTAACCTAATCTGGTAAAAATAAGCTTAGGGGGTCTTTCATGCAGGTCCTCATGTCTGTACTCCAGAGTGGGGAGGGAACCCTGACAGTCCTCCCCACGCACAGCCCAATTTCACAGGGCTCCATGCCTGGCAGTGTACAGGGGCAGATGGGAACTGGGTATGGGTGGGCTGAGATCAGAACACTTGCTGTTGCAGGGATCCTCTCACCCTCCCCACCATGACCAGGGCATGCAGGGCTGCTTCAACCATGGCAAGGAAAATGCTTTGCCTTTCCCTTGTGCATCCTTTGCCACAGCAACACAGTTTTCCCTTAACTGGGCTGCCTATTTGATGGAATGTGTCTTGTATCGTGTTTTCCATCAGTAGATCTCAAAGCACTTTACAAAATTCCCCCGTTTTACAGATGGGGAAACCTGAGGCCCGGAGGGGCAGGAACCTGCCCATGGTCGCCCAGCAGTAGAGCTGGGATCAGAACCCAAGTCTCCTGAGTCCCAGGCTAGTGCTCTATCCCCTAGAAGACCAAACTTCCAAGTGGTAAGAGACTAGGGGGTGAATCTTTCCTTCACTTGGTCCTGTGCAAACATCATGAGTTTAACAGAGCAATATGGAGACTGGGTTATTGGGGAGCTCGTTATGTCAGGGTCCTGAGACCTGGTACAGAGGAACATAACTCAGAGCTTTATTGATCACATCTGTGCTGCACGGGCATCCACCCAGCCCAGGGAGAAGTCCCGAAACCCCATCCCAGGACGCACTGGGATCAGTGTCACTCTGGCCCTATAAGATAGGGACACGGCTCTGAATTTCCAGAATTATCCTGGGATTGATTGGGTTGGCAGCCTTGAAGCAGAGGCAATCAGGTCCCATCATGCCATAGGGCAATATGCCACATTTGGTAACTTAACTTGTTGCCCATCAGGCATTATTTTTTAGCAATCTAGGTCCTCAGTCTTGTCTGTTTATCCATCTTTTCTCTGATAATTGGGGGTTATTTTCATCACTAGCTTGTATTTAACATTCTCTCTCATAGCTGTCACTATGTTGAGATAATGACCTTGTTTCTGGGCTATGGTCAAGCTGAACTTGGCACAGCTGCAGGAAAGGGGACACAGGTGGCTGCACTCTTACTTTTATTCCTCTTGGACTCAATTCTCCATATAAACAGAGCAACCTCTGGGGCTGCTCTGATTTACACCCTGGTTGCAGCTGTCTCTAAGGGACCACCCACAATAGACAGTGCAGCATGCCCTGGGCACACCCCTGCATTGGCAGCACAGGGCCATTCTCTGTCCTACACTGTTTTGTGTACAGCATGCTGGGTAATAACATGAGAACTCCATGTTTCTAAAATTAAAGTGGCTTTTTAAGAGCACTGTTTCCACAAGGGGCTGCAACTGCAGGTAGCATTCAAGCCATGTGCAAACAGTCTTACTGGTGTTACTGCCAATCTCTTCTCTCCTGCAACCTATTCTCCTGCCTCCAACTTGCTACATACACCTCTATGGATTCCCCTTTCCCCTAGGGGAATTCTTCCAAGGGGAGATCCAGCAGGCTTCAAGCCCCTTTACACTGCTCACTGGCCTCAAAACACCAGAATGCAGCTAGACCAGAGGTGGGCAAACTGTGGGCTGTATCTGGCCCATGGGACCGCCCTGCGTCCCCCCCCCCCCCGCCTGTTTTCCCCCCTCCCCCGCAGCCTCGGCTCACTGCACCACCAGCGCAATGCTCTAGGCAGCGGGGCAGCGAGCTCTTGCCGGGCAGCGCAGCTGGAGAGCCGTGGCCTGACACAGTGCTCTGTGCTGCATGTTAACATGGCTGGCTCCAGCCAGGCAGCACAGCTGTCTGTCCTGCTGCTCTGGGAGGCATGGCTGTAGCGCCTCCAGCCACTGGTGCTCCAGGCAGCGTGGTAAGGGGACAGGGAGCAGGGGGTTGGATAGAGGGCAGGGGAGTTCAGGGGGCAGGGGTGTGTGGACAGGGGTTGGGGTGGTCAGAGGGCAGGGAACGGGGGTTGAATGGGGGCAGGGGTCCCAGAGGGCAGTCAGGAAGGGGAGGAGTTGGATGGGGGCAGTCAGGGGCAGGGGTTCTGTGGGAAGTCAGGGGACAGGGATGGGTGGATGGAACAGGGAATGGGGGGGTTGGATGGGGCAGAAGTCCCGGGGGAGGGGAGGCAAGAAGCAGCAGGACTCAGGGGGCGGGGCCCAGTCCACGCCTGGCTGTTTGGGGAGGCCTCCATACAATTTCGGAAACCCAATATGGCCTTCAGGCCAAAAAGCTGATTTATGAACCTGAAGGGAAGCAAATGCTTTTCCTCTACCTCAAACAGTGCTGAAAAGGGACTGGCACATCATGCTTCTGGCCAAGGCCAGATTTAAACCAATGCTCCAGAAATACACATCTCCATAGACCTTTACCGTCATACCAGACCTGTTTAGATAATCCAGCCATAAATTCAGCTTGCATGTCTACCCGTCCAACCAGAAAAATATCTGAAGTTACTGGAGGAACTCCAGGGAAAAGTGTTTGCACAACTTGCTTTCGAAAGTGCATTGCAAAGAACTCCATCAACCATTTGTGAATTAAGCTATGTGTCTCTAGGCAATTGAGAATTATGAATGCAGAAACAAAGACGTGTGGCATCTATACCTGGAGCAGTAGTACATGCTGCTCCAGAAACTGCTAAAATCCTGCCAGTAGCAATCTGAACCCAGCTGCTGCTCTACCCAGTTCTGATCTCAGCAGGGCCATGGATCTGTTCGATTCTGTTTTTTTATCTAGAGTCAAAATAATCAGGGACTGAAGATAATGATCTTGAAACCCAGACATAAAAGAATCCAGGTGAAGGCATTCTCTGTTTCCCTTGTCTTTTTGGTAAAACAATCCCAAAGAACCAGAGAGTGCATTTCATGGGCAGACGTTCCTTTGGTGCCCAGCTGAATTTGAACCCAGACAGACTGAAGTCAAGGAAGTGGAAAACCTTGCACGTTGACCTGTCTCAAACTAAATACATGTATGGGATGAATTGAGCTAATCTGTTGGAAATGCAGTCTTATGCACTGTTTGCAAAACATAAAACTGGACAAAAATAACGCCTGAGATGCAGCTGTTTGCCTACAGTCATCAAGGCGACTGGAAAATGCAAGGGCCCGAGGCTGTTAAATGCTGCCAGAAATCATTACAGCTGGATTTTTTGTTTTCCGCAAGTGCTTAGCAACCCCAAATGAACCCCCCACTTTCAGAAGAGCTCAGTCCTAGGGCCTAACGTTTGGTTGGACATCGGAGAAGCTCAATGGAAAGATTTTTGGTTTTGGATTGGGCCTTTTAGCAGGCACTGAGAACCCACAGTGCCCTTCGATTTCACTTAATATCTATGAATCGCTACAAGCTTCCTGTAATTACTCTGAAATATATGTAGGATAATAACTCTTTATGGATAAATCTCCTGTAAGACAAGTTTAGTGTGGTGAGTTTGTCAGGTCTGAGGTGAGATGTCTGCAAAGAACAGAGGACCCTTTGTCGTGTGTGTGCAAATGATTATACTTCCGTCTGAAAATCTCAAGCATTTTACAGATGTAACAAGTCTTCTCCCTCTTTCTCCTCCCCCCCCCCCCCCGGTTTACCTGCAGCTAAATAACTTGCTCAAGAAGTCAGTAGCTGAGCCAGCCACAGGACCCAGGAGTCCTGACTCCCTTGTCCTGTGCTCTAAACCAATGTCCAAGGACTGACACTAGTCCCTGAGATCCCCCTGACACAGTTTAGGAAGGTAGTAAGCTGGTCTCTGGTATCAAAAAGGTTGAGAAACACTGCTCTGAATAATGAATCCCGTGATCAGGGAGTGGTTTTTTTTTTTTCCCCAAAGGATCCTGGTAATGAGTGACTTCAATGGGGGTATCTGTGAAGATCTTCTGTAGCTTTTATCATCAAGACGGTAAGTGAAAATTCTCTCTCTCTCTCTCTGCACTCAGATATACTGGTGAACTTCCAACTGAAGTCAATGGAGAATTGATGAAGCCAAGAAGTTGTCTCTTGGCTTGGCAAAGTGGATGTGAACATAGCAAGCAAACTGGGGATGGTACTGCCAGAGTCCTGGCTCCTGGTCCTCTCCCCAAACTCTAATCCTTGCTCCTTTTGCTACGTTAGGCTACAGGGACTTCCTACAAAGGGGTCCCCTCAAGTAAGTGTAGTGTACTGACCTGACCTGAGAGTCCAGTAGAGCCACAGCTAAACCTAAAGGGGGGGGGGTGACTTTGAGGGTGGCTCTAGAATGGCTAAGATCCAGAGCTTATGAACTGTTCACCTTAGGGTTTTTTGGACAAGAGACAGTGGATATTTGTTGTGATGGTGGTTTAAATGAAATTCTCCACATGACACATCAATTTTTCAAGTTCTGTTTTTTTATTAAAAGCCCCAAAAATGTCAGATTTTGGCAAACCAAAGATTAGAAATACCAGGTGGTTGAAGAGGTAATTTTTTTTTTTTTAATTGGACAGATTTCTGTTGGTGAGAGACTAGCTAGTGTCTGTCTCTCTCTCTCTCACACACACACACACACACACACACACACACACACACACACTTGGTCCAATAAAACATACTACCTCACCCACCTGGTCTCTCTCGTATCCTGGGACTGACACAGCTACGACAACACTGCATAAAACAAGTTCAGGTTTTTGGTCAAGGAGATGCAGGGGGGAGCATTTAATGGCCAACTGCAGTCTTGACGATTCAGATGTAACAAAGACGTGGATAGAACAAGGGTAAAAGCGTTTGAAGAGATCCACATTAGTGAGTCTGGATGGTGTATATCCTATTGTGACCACTGTTCATGCTGATCAAAGTTTCTTTGTGCTTCCCCTTGTCAGTTGAATCCCCTGTTGCCCACATATTGTAAGCTCCTCAGGGAAGGGACTGCATGTTAGTACAGTGTCTTGCACAGTGGCCATTATGATGATACCTGAGATCATCTTCATCCTCCCTGGGGAATACTTTCTGTGCCAACAGGGCAAGAGAGGCTGACCTCATGGTTAAGGCTCATGGAGACTTCAATTTCCAGTTCTGCTGCAGACGCCTGTGTGACCTTGGGTACATGACATAGGGCTAGACATGAAATGTACACAACAACCACTGCTGAGGCTAGATTCTCAAAAGATGCCAGCACCAATAGATGTGGAAGCCCTGGGTTTCCTAGCTCTGCAGTTGGTGGAAGCAGCATTTCCTGTGGAATCTGTTCTTTCGCCATCTAATTAATACCAAATTGAATTATGGGAAGGATGTTGTACAGCAGACAGCTGTGTGTAGCAGATGTTTGAAAGCATGTCAGGGGAAGAGGGTACCTCTACTCATGTTGCATCAGGAGCTGTGAAATAAGCCTGTAACAAAGCAGTTACTTGTCCCACTGAAACACACACACTGTATAGAGTGCTACAATGTGAACCTGCCTGAGGATTTTGATGCTTGTCTGCTTAAGAACAGCATTAGTCCAAAAGCTGAAACCATTTCAAAAAGCACCTGCTATTTAGTGGCTTGCAAAAGGAAGGTGTGTGTAATATCCCCACAAATTGCACCAATTTGACTAAATTGATTGCCCTAATCTAGCTAAATTGGTTTCTCAATCTACCAGGTTGGCACTGAATTAAGATCAATCAGTGTCAGATACTTTAAAATTGATTTGAATGGTCACACAATGGGATTGCCCTGAGTTAACTAAATTGATTTAGAAACAGATTTAATTTTGTGCAACTTCTATGTATAGACCAGGCCTTACTACTCACAATGTGCTGTTCTGCTGCTAGTAGCCTCCAAGAAAATATATTGGGCAGACTGAGGAAAATCTACTGGTTTGGGAACAGGCCAAATTCACCTAGTGCAAAGTCGAAGGGATGGATTGGGCCAATTTTTCACTATCGCTTGGAAGTTCTGTTGGCTAACAGTAGTTCCTGATAGTGGTTTACTAGGAACACTTGCTTGGCACAAGTGCAGTGAGGCAGGGCTGAAGTTCAGTGTGCCTCAACCCTGACCACACCTAGGGGATGAGGAGGGAGTTGAGATTCTGTGGTCTATTCAAGTGAAATAATGGCTACCCCTGCCAGTGTCAAGATCCTGGAAAAGGAAGTTCTCAAGGTCTGTTCCTCAGAGGCCTCTTCGGAATGCATTTGCTGGGTCTCAATCCAGCGGCCAGTAGAAAGGGTGTTCACACCACACACCCACCAGTGGCGCTGACACTATTGCATACGCTTGTTGATCCTCACAGCAAAGAGGCCACAGCGAATGAGCTGGTATCTTTACCCCAGCGGCAATATCCCCAAATCCAGGGGTGAGGCCTATGAGCAGGGCCCTGTCTTGGAAACTGGCCCCTGCTGTACCTGTCCTGTGGATAAATAGGAAACCTCTCTTAAACTAAACCAGAGCTAGAGACTTGTTCGGCTTAAGGGAGGAAAGAATACATGTGGCTTTATGCCGGCTTTTTGCCTCAGGGATTCTGGGCTGCTCCTGGGGTTGACGTGGCCTCCTGAATATATTTGAGCATTGCTGGGGGGTGCTCTAATTTTATGGCAGGTTCCTGAGGGTTTCTTATGGGCTAGTCTAGAGCAGCCTAGAATCCTTGGAGTGGATTGTACTCTGGTCCTACACCCTCCCTTGACATATTCCCTGTGCTGGGGCTTGAGGGACCAGCCTAGGGCCAACACAATGCTGGCAAAGGTGGAATTGTCCCCTCTGCTCCCTGAGAACTGTTTATGCCCCCTGTATGCCGCCACCACCACAGTAGGGCATGGGGGGGCAGAATCCCTCTCCATTATTGTTTTTGGTTCGTTGTTGTTTTTTGTTTGGGGGGTGCAGGTGGTAAAAGACCATGGAAACAGAAGCAAAAAGAAGAACAGGAGTACTTGTGGCACCTTAGAGACTAACAAATTTATTAGAGCATAAGCTTTCGTGGACTACAGCCTACTTCTTCGGATGCATATCCGAAGAAGTGGGCTGTAGTCCACGAAAGCTTATGCTCTAATAAATTTGTTAGTCTCTAAGGTGCCACAAGTACTCCTGTTCTTCTTTTTGCGGATACAAACTAACACGGCTGTTACTCTGGAAACAGAAGTGCAGATGCTAATATAATCCCCAGTGGGGTGAATCTTGCATTCCTTGCACATCCAAGGTTCCCATTTAAATGGGAGTAGGGACTGCACCTGGTTCCTTGCAGGTGTGTAGTTACCTCTGCTTCCTAAAAACTAGGCCCTGGAGGCCTTCCCTAGCAACAATGCAATAAAACAACTAGCCCTACAAGCCCACTAATCTAGTTCCAAGAAACTAAAGATTGGCAGCGAATTATTTTAGATCTCATTATGCATAACAGCCTCTGGTTCATTTTTTGACTCAAATGAAGAGAGACAGAGGCGGGAGTTAGTTACCCACTTGGCAGCAGGCCAGTTGGACTTGATTAGATCACCACAACCGAGTCTAACACACTGGAAGAGCTAGGGAATTGAGCCACATGCGCATATGTGTGTGCGCTGTCAGCTCTCTCTTCCACCCCTCCTCCCCATATGTCCGAGCACCTCCCTGACATGAACAGCGCTCAGATGGAGTGCGCACAGGCGTAGCTGAATGTGATGGGGTGGCGCTGAGAGGGCCAAAATGACAGGGGGAATGAAGAGACTGACAGGTATTGCCTCAGTGGTCTGCATGCAATACGCACGTCACTGCAGAACAGTGTCTCGGACCATGTGTAGCAGGACTGTGTCACTGGAAAATTAGAAGAGGGGCTCAGGATTGATCCCCCAAAGGATATTTAGGTGGTGGTTCTGGCCCAGGGGACAGAGTCTGGTCTAATTTACATCACTGTTTATCTGGTGTAACTCTTCTGAGCTTAGAAACTGACCCCCCCCCCCTCATTTTAATGTCCGTCCATTGATTGGCCTATCGGGTCCTAGTGACCACTTTGGGAGACAGCAGGCCTGATACTGCTCACGCTGATGTAAATCAGAAGTACCCGTATTTTCCGGCGTATAAGACGACTGGGCGTATAAGACAACCCCCAACTTTTCCAGTTAAAATATAGAGTTTGGGATATACTCGCCGTATAAGA